TCCGTTTCTGTTCCGGCGAGCACTAAATGAGACAGTTCTCTATTAGACCGTGAATATACTCATTAGGGTTATTAACCGGCTCGACCGCCGAGCGAGTTTTGTGTGTCTTCGCGGCCCGCCGTTGAATTAAACTTTTAACGAAGCAAATAACCGACACAATACCCTTCAACCCTTGCGCACTTTTCTGGCGATTGTCGCCGACGGTTTTGCAAATTGAATCGGCCCAAGGGCGGCATCCTGATAAAACTGAAGCTTCTTCGAGATTTGCTTTCTCACCCGCCGTCTTCCTTCGAAATTCTTTTAATCCGTTAAACTCGTTTATAAAGTTTCGACGGAATCTTTTCCTCCGTTTTAACCCCTTCGCGTACTATTAAATGCAAGAAAATTTTCCGTAATGGTGGAATAGTTGTTTTTTGATCTGTCGGAGGTGAACAACATTGATTGTTAAATCAGTCTAGAAATCTTCATCGCGAGTCTCACTCGTCATTGTACGTCTAAGGGTTAAAGAAAATGTGATATAAGCATCTCCAAGGGTAGAAATATTTTTCTTCTTGTTTGTGATACGGTGTATTTTTAATTTTATCACGTTGCGATATGAAAATATTACCTTGCCCTTAAAATGATCTTTCACGGATATATCCTGTTGCTTATTTATATTGACCGCTAATTTTATACGTCAATGACGAACATGAACGGAGGAAGTATAAAAAACAATAAAAATACCATAAGAGCTTGAATGTATCGGAAGTTCTTAAGAAAAGAAAGAAATTTCTGTTATGTTTAAGATTCTTTCGATTATTTCAAAGGAATTCTAATTTCTCTTGATGATTTTCAGTCTGCCAATGAAACTCGATCGTTCGATTTTGGGACGATAAATTGAACAACACGTTTCCTGTATCACTGACAGTGTCCTGGAAGCATTGTAATCATTTCGCAATATATCGACCGATGGATTTAATTAGTTACACACGAAATGTCTCCAGCAATTAAAACACGGTCTCGCATTTCATTAAATATCCCGATATGGAAGTATTCGACAATGCGCCTGTTGTTCCAATCTCTTTTGTTCAATCTCCACCGCAGTAATTATGGATTCTATGGGCATTCAGTGTTCCGATCATTTTCTCGTGAGCGTGATGTATTTCCCGGTGCCGCCCGCGAAAATCGATAATCGCCTGCTCAGCGGCTGGAAAAAATTAATTTAAGTCTAATCGAGCGTCGCCCCGAACGAGCTCGTAATTATCGATCAGACGGAATTTATCGGCGGCTGACAGTACTTTGCTCGGTTAGTTCGGATCTCTTGTTACCATAGACACCGTGGAACCCTTTCTTTTCATGTGAAATTTGAAGAATACATTTGTCTCCGAAGGTAGTTCATTTTCTACATCCCCTAAGTTCTTGGTTCATTGTCCGATCATCAATTGACATTTCTACTCGCAGCGGTACTTGTTAACCTTTTAGTCGAAAGTTCTTTACTAGGAACATTCGACATTTTCGATTTCGATTCAAGACAAATTATCCCCATTTTACACGATTTGTTCGATCTACCGTAACTATCTCAATTTTCTGTGCTCCTATAGGTAGAGTATACTTGTTTCTCAAAGTAACTTGTGAGAAAGATACGTAAATTGGGAAACCAAGCTGTTTTATTTCGACGTTTTACACTGATACATAGTAACCCCTTGTACTCGAGAGCTGACTCTCAGTCACCATTTCATTTGTTACAGCAAAGTTATAAAGTCAGATATTTTAAGTTTTGCACAATGCAGTGTGTTAAATATTGAATAAAATATCTCCGTTCTCGATAAGTGAGTTCCAAAAATATTGTCCATGTCTCATCGGGAAACGAAGCTTTCCAGTGAAAAACTTCCGAGAGCAAAGGGTTAATATTACATGCAAACCTTTATAATCCTAGCAAATCAATTGTTAACTAAGAGTCGCCTCCAAGTGCAACGAACCAAGACAATCCCATAACATTCTATACACTTTCCGCAATCACTCGATGACTTCGATATAACAGAAACAATTACGCCACAGAGTCAACCAGAAACTAACCTCAATAAAAATCTCCAACTTCCTGCTCGTCTCTAACCAAACGTTCCTCGCAGTTTCCCTTATTTCCAAATCACACGAAACTCCAACGAGCCCCAAAACAAACCCTCGTTAGACCCGAAGGAACATCTCCCAACCTCCCCATACCTTCCGTCTAGGCGCACTTGAACCGACAGAAACCCATTGCTCGTCCGAAAGAGGACACGCCACTCGAAAGCTGAAGAAGAAAACAAGAGAAACACTCGGATATTAGGAAAGTCGGAAGTTCCGAGCAAAGGGGTCGCCCGACAAAGAGGAGCAGCGAGCCGGTCTAAAATTTCGAGAAACGGAAGCGCGGCAGACGAAGAAGAAGGTCGCCCGGCGGGCCTGGTCACCGAGCGTCTTCATCCCGCCGAAGACTGCAAGAAGTCCGAGGGGCGGAGGGGAAGTCTCGACGGGGATAAGCGTCGTTCTCCTTTATCGTCGGAACAGAAGCTTCTCCCCGGTTTTCCCCTATCGTCTGTTTCCACGGTTGATACCACTGTGCAGCCTGCTAGAAGAGACGCCAGGAGACGAGACGGTACTTATTATCGGCGGACTCCTCCATTCCCGATCATTTTACCGGGAAGAACAGCGTCCGTGGCCCTCCTACGGGGTTTTCCGCTGGAAAGCCCGGCAATGCTCCGGTCGCCATTCAGACGAGCCGTTGAAAGGGTTGATTGCTTATCTAGGAAGAAACGGAAATCCAGCGGCGTCCTTGCTTAAACCGGTCCCCCCGTTCCGCGTCCGGTGTTTCCGTGTGCACACGCCGGTTGCGTATCGCCGTCCTTATCATCTCCAGCGGCGCGCTGGAAAGCTTTCTACTTTCAGTTTCTAGTATCGCGCTCTCGAAAACCCTTCCCTTCCCTTCCGCGGCCGGTCCGCCCCTCTCCGGGGGCAGGAGCCTCTTCCGCCGCCTGTAATCATGCAGCTGGCCAGGGGCGGAGGGATAGCACTCATTGTCAGCAGACATTACTCCCCCTAGGACACTCGTTGCGCCCTTTTTGCCGCGGTTGAATTTCGTATCGCGGAGGGTGGAAGGATAACGGAAGATACAGAGGCGCGTGTACGTGCCTCGAATTACTTAGCCGACACGCGAGATACTCACTTATCCGGCGGTAGTCTCGTCACGTCTCGCGGTATTGATGGCTCTACGTTTTCCTCGTTCCTTTCGGCGCTTTCCTTGGGCTTTTCCCGTTGGTCCTCCTGCTGGTCTTTTCCGACGGACTTGGGGTCGTTGTAGCTGCTCGTGGCGGATTTGTTCGATTGTAATGAGGATAAAGTACTTTTGTTCCGAAGGTTTTGTTGTAACACTGGAACTACCGTACCGGTCGAAATGTTTCGATTTTTTTTGGCAGTTATTGATATCTTCGAAGCATTGAATGTTCGAAATGATTCTGAAAATAGTTTCGTTTCAGTACTATGACGAGTGTCTGAAGGAACTGGAAATAATCTATTGTTACAATTTTTATAGGAATTGCGTATTAATCGTGTTAAATGCTCGGTAGTTCTAGTGTTAGGGATTCCTTCGCTTGGAGTATGGCGTTAACTTTGCACCAGCGTTTCCCAACGTGGGGCAATTCGATTTTTAACGCTGCATTTACGGACGTTTGTTCTATACTTTATTCTATTGTTCCTAGATAACTACAGGTTCGTTTATATAAATTGCGAAAATTATAGCTTCAAAACCGAAGTATTGCAATGCGTATTCGCATAATTGAACGAGTCAAAATCGACTCAAACTGTTACTGAATAATGTTTAGAAAATTCAATATCAGTGTTAAGGGCGATTTGAAATATCACTTTATATATTTCGCAATATTTAGGCAGGTGAACGGAATAGCGAAAAGAATGTAATAAATAATATTAAGAATATTATAATATAATTTTAGAAAGGCTTAGGTGGGCATGGCATAAAAAGGTTGGGAAACACTGCTTTAGACGATCGATGGGGATATGATCACTCAACATTAAAACTACCGAATAGGTCTAAATGACTTCGTGAATCCTTCTCTTATAATTATTTAAGAGACAACGAATGCTTCTCTGAGAAAGTATTGAAGAAATTGATTTAGTAACATGCAAAGTGAGTCGTTATACTCTCAGAGTTTCTATAGACAAATTTAACACTAGAACAACCAAGAGTGAAACCATTTCCAAATTTGATACTCTAAGAATGCAGCTATTAAGATCTCAATTGCCTTATGATTCATTTCGGGCATTACTAAATCAATTTCTTCAATAATTCCGCAGAGAAGCATCTGTTACCTTTTCAATAATTCAGGAAGAAGAAAGGAACAGGTCAATTTGACCCATCCGGTAGTTCCGTTAAAAAGTTCACTTCGAAAGTTCCAGTTGCAAGATTGGAAGATTAAGAGATTGAGCTGCAATTTCCGCGCAGCTTTAACCCTTTGAACTCTGTAGGCTCCAATACTGCACCAGTTATAATATTAAATACTTTAATGAATCTCAAAGAAACTACCCTAAAATTATCAGATTCCCCGCACATCCGAATCTTGTACTAACAAGGAAAATAAAAGATCGAAGGAGTGCTACAGCATTTCTAATTTTCGCTGGGAATACTATAAAAATTAGTTGCAGTTGCCGATAGATCGCAAGGCAACCTGGAGTGCCAAGGGTTAAAGTTGCGTATCAAAACGATTGATACGCTCCGACGTTCCAATTTATTATTCATATTTCCCGCACTTCCCGTTGATTCCGGTGCTTTGATATCAAGACTCTCCGGCCGACAAAGTTCAGGGCCCTCCGACGCAAGTAATCCCGATCGATTAAAAGCGAAGCGTCCAGGGGGGGCTGTGAATATTGATGGAGGATCCTCGAAGATCAATGCTCGGATACCCTTGCAGGCGATCGAGTATCACATTTTCATATCTTTCGCTTCACGTTTTCTTCGGCGACCGTTTTTGCAGACGAGGCTGACTCGGAGGTATCGGATAAAGGCCGGTGTGCCGACTTTAATTTTATTGGACGGCACGAACGGCTCGGTGGTGACCCGCGGGGGTGTCGAACGGACCATCGGCGATCCCAACGGGGCTGAATTCCCCTGGAGGCCCCCGCATCCGAAGGCAGCGCTCGAGGATGGACCATTATTACCGTGCGGCGCACGCGACACCAACGAGCCCATGCTGCACGAGGAGCTGCGCCATTGCTTCAAGGGTGTCTACTTTAGCGCACACTGGGTATATCGATTTCTTGTTCGAACTAATTTTTCAGGCCGAGGATCCGGGGTAGCGTGGTTTCCCGTGGAACTTGGGAATAACGGGTATCATGTGAAAATCAACCCTTTGCACTGGACAATATTTTCCATTGAAAATATTCATTACTTTCTGACTAAATATTAACGATATTTTTCGCAACACGATCGATTATCTTCTGTAAATTAAGAGACAGAACTATTTTACTTCGATGTTTCATGTGTTGATACGTTACACAAGGTTTAATATTGAATTGAAAATTTTATAAGTTTGAAATTAAGGCGCCCCTCGAGTGCAAAGGGTTAAAATACACAAAACGAAAGAAATATTAACACTATTTCTACCGAAGGTGTCGACACTCCGAAATTTTAACTTGCAATTCTTTTCTCAGTTTAATAATTTTTCACCGATTGAATTTTTGACATTTCCTGTAGTTAATGTTATAATCGTTATTGGTCAGGTCGAAGGTCAGTTCAGAATATACGACTAAGGTTGGAAAATAGTTTTATGTCGAAAATTCGACAGGTGTCGAATTTATTATTATAACAGTATTTCATTTATTATTATAACAGTATTTCTTATTTAGTATTATTTTTTGTTCCGTTAGTGCCCCCCCTGCAAAGCATTCACACCGCAGCTCGTGGACACGTATCAGCGAATCAGGGAGAGGAGCCACGACTTCGAGGTGATCTTCGTGAGTTCAGATAGGTAACATAATTCTCTGCATTATTCTTCTCGTTATTCTAATTGGTTGGACGTCTAAATGTATTGTAACTATTGAAATGTACTCCCTGTGTATCGCGGTGGAAACTGATAAACGTGCATGTGAAAAGAAAATGCGAAGCAAGTATAAGGACAAATTTTGCTGAACCGTGCACTGAATTAATTCGTTCCTAACGATCAATTTTTATTGAAACATAATTTCTGTTCCCAGGAGTGAAGAGTCTTATAACGTTTATATTGAATCGATGCCTTGGTTGAGGATACCTTTTAGTCAAGAGGAAAGACGACGAAAATTAGCGAGGGCCCTCGACGTACAAGCAATACCAACTTTAGTGATACTCGATCCCCGGGATAATATTATAACTTTAGACGGTCGGGCGGAATTGATCGAGGATCCCGAAGGGCTGGTAGATAAAAACTTCCTTGAATTTCAATATTCTTAAGAAATTTGTTTGCCGCTCCTGAAGTTTCAAATTGAATAATCTTCGGTGGAGTGGGCTTCGGTTTTATTTTTCGTTTCGCTTTTCAACCGTTCCTCCGGCTCCTCATTAAAACTGTTTACCTCGGGATAGAAACTTCTTAAATTATTCGAAAATTTATATACTTTTATTCATTGACACGTTAAGCGCCATGAGAATCTTGGCCGTTTAGAGTCATTCCTTTGTAGCAGAGAAAAGCAGGGATGATTATTAATTATTTGATGTTGCAATTCTTGCAGTATTGTCAACTTCGTTGCGTTAACTTTGCCCTATGATTTGTTCCTGAATTGTGATCGATACAACTTTGTCATTAATAATTTATTGGAAAGAGAAAAATTGCATATCCTGTGTCCACCTTTGCTCTGAAATATAATAATTGATAGGGGGAAAATAATATATCATTTGAACTCAGAAGAATTGAGCAATATTTATGTTTGTTAAATTCTGTTTAAAATCTTCACCGCGAGTCATCGGTGACTAACATGACGCTTAACGCGTTAAAATTATTTTTACCCTTGATATCGTTCGGATAATTTTCTCCGTTCGTTATGTAGAATTTCCCGTGGACCAGCCGCTTGGTGAATATCTTAACAGAAAAATACGCTACTTCGTTGCACGATGCACCGGCAATAATACTATTCGTAGGTAAGTCTGTCCGAAACAATTTCCTAATTTGTTCCTTCTTCTCTCGACTATAACGATGACAATAAACGATGATATTCCGACAGAAGGCGATGACTGCGAGATTCAATTCGCGGAGGGTGTATTATTGCCTTCCGCACAAGCGTACAGGAAAGATAGACCTGACTATGATCCAAATTATGATGATCCAGATGATATTTTGCAATTTTATATAGCGTTAGATGTGAGTATTAATTTATGTTACTGAATAATACATTTGTATATAAATGTATTCCATGTTTAACCCCTTGGCGTACCATTTACTTTCGCTACCAAGCTCGTGTAACGTTTTGCCATCGACAATCCGGAAGAAATGCAGCACAATTTTCCATTCTACTTGAAGTGGAAATTTCATTTGAATATAGTAAATTGATAATAGCAAAATAGTTGTTTGCTTCAAAATGTTAAATTAGTCATTGCACGGCAACGGGTTAATAACTGAAATATAAATGATTCACGAACATTTCACTTTGTAACATTTTTGTAAAGCTAATTGCATTCATCGACCAAGTAGATACATTTCCCTTTTGTTCTCGTTCTAACGTACACGCGAGTACAACCAGTAGAATCGATATGTAAAAGAACAGTGCCACTGTAAAGTTAAACAATCTTTGTCAAAGGGTGAAACGTCAGACATCCTCCGGGAATTCGTTGGACTAGACGATGCTGTGCCTCTTCTAACGGCGATCGACATACCTCGAGGAGTATACGTCGTGATGGAGGACGGCGCCGAGATTACTGTGGATTCTGTACAACAATTCGTAGACGGGTTTCGTAACGATAAATTGCCGATAAACAAAATAACCACGGTTCACAAAACTGACAAAAGCGACCACGTTTCTACTTGAACATCCGCGCGAACCGGCGGATAAGTTTTATACAAATTATTGAAGACCATACGCGAAGGAAGGAGCAGTTAGGTTTTTAAGTGGTCATTATACAACCACAGAATAAAGAAACCCCAAACCTCTCTTCTCAATCCTATCTCTGTGATACCATTGCTCCTTTGAGTAGAAAGGATATCCCGCGCAGAACCGCGCATTGTACTCGTACACCCCTTGTGGACGTAACCAAAAGACATGTATTATATATACCATAGTCAATAAAAATTGAGCGAATTGTATTTTCAAGTGTACACATGCGCACGGATATGTTTAATATATTATGTATAATGTATTACTTAATGAACGCCAAATGTGAACATGTCGAATGTATCTCGAGAGATACAAAGTGCTCATCCATCCTGTCCCCCCGTACAGGCAAATAGTCACTGATTTCGTAAAATCTCGTGTCTTA